GAACAGCGTATATGTTTGTGTGTTTCAGATGATCCAAATATAAGAAATCGTGTCCGTTAGGAAAAAAACCCAACTCATTCACCCAACCATTTCTCTGACAGATGTCACCAAAAAGTTCCGAAAAAAATTGTTTATACACTCCACGGTATACCTCATGATATGTGAAAAAAGTTCTATTGAAGAATAAAAATTTCTACCAAAAAAATGTCAAAAATACAAGCTAGATTACCCTGCTGACCCCTGAACATTCATATTCTTAATTCAATTCTAGAAAGTGTCCATGTTTTATGGGAGATCGCGAAGATCAGCAAAAAAWTTGTATACGCCTTATCTGTATCAAAAATTTTCATATATTATTAATCGGCGTAATTGACAAACAGACCGACCTCGTGAACTTAATTTATCAGCCRCATTTATTTGTAATTATTTATAATTATTGCAATTACTCTTAATTGCATTCATTCAAACGCAGGGACGATAATGTCAAATATGTTACGACCTCCACTGCTCCGGGTGCTCACAATTCAGCATAGTAAAAGTTTGAGCAAAACAGCAGTTTGCAATTTTAATTTACAGCTTTCAACGTGCGATAGATAATCCTAAAATGTCAATTACTGCCAATTAATCTTGCTGTTTGTTGTTTTTTGTTTTGTTTTTCGGTTTTCAAAAACACAAGCGCACTTTCAACTCATTTTATGGTGATATCCATTATGATGTTCACTTAATGCCGCTGTCAATTTGGCTTAATAAATTGTGAAATTCTTTACAATGCTGAAATTTTACAAAAATTTTACAGCTATTGTACATTTAACTTGCTTGTTTCTCTTATTAATTCTCTCTGTCTCTGTCTCTCTCTTTCTCATTGCATGTGCCGATTACAACGAAACCAACTGAATCAATGGAATCAATGAAACTCTGGACAATCGTTGGCCACTAATCCACAATGATTAACAACAAAACTGTATGTACGTCAATTTGCTTTGAAACCGAAATTTACAACAACAACAAAATAATGATAATAACAACAACAAMAACAATCATCATGTAAACGTTCACAACAACAACAACACGTAAATGTCATGGCGACAACGTTAATCGTTACAACAACAACAACAAAAACAACACAATTGCGCCCAACAACAATAAAAACAACCCATAACGATCCCAACAACATTCAATGCGCTTGTCAACATCAATATGGCACTGTGTGCGCCACCATCGTTATCGGCCATCTTTCGTATATACACCATTTGCTTACACCGTGTCGTATACGTAAYATTTCTTTCGCAAAATGCTTTTCACTTGCATGCGCTTGAATGTGCTTTTGTCTGCATTTGATTGACATTTCATGGCAACCGCTAACGCTATTGTATTGCGTGTTGACTAATACGTATACAAATATGGACAACAACAACAACAATAATAATAACAATTGTAGTGAAAACAAAAGACATTGATGCCGTGGAAGGCAAATCCGTCTCCCTGCCATGTCCGATCAGTGCACCGCTGAGTGACGTTTACATGGTCTTATGGTTCCGCGATAATGCTGGTATACCGTTATACAGGTAAGTAACAAACAAACGCGTGTATGGCACATAAATGTGAACACAAAGCAGGTGTATGATTAGAGATAATAAACTCACAGCTGCTATAATATGTATTACTATGTGTTGCTTTTCCTTTTGAAATTTCGTCTGTTTTTCAACTTTTTMCTTGAACGGTGTGAAAGGCTTAACACTTGCTTTCCTTTTCTTTGTTAYTACTCGCTACTAATGATGATTTTAATTTGCGCTGCAAGCAAAAGCAATAAGAAACGCTTCATACATTTTAAGTAAAAGCGACGGCGTTGCTGTTTCRTAATTGCTGGAAAAAGTGAGAAAGTCACACACGCGACGTTAATGGTAGACCGAATACTGCCGTTTCATGTTGTTATTGCTCTGCTTGTTGTGCTTTGTTTTGTTACTAGATTTCTACACGGCAGCTTATAGTTGCTGGAAATTATATTTATCACAAATTTATGTTGCTTCTTTTGCCCACTAGCGTGATTTATTGCCTGACTTACAAGCAACCGAAATTTCCCTTTTGCCATAAGTCAAAATTTCATATTACCTCTTGGGTTACCGCACTAACACATGTACAYATAGCACGCACAACTTTACAAATACTTGCTTAGAAGTGAGATTATATACTACATACTTATTAGGGTGTGTCAAAAATAACTTTTCTTTTCTCTTTTATTTTGTGATTTTGAGACGTTAGTTTTTGAGAAAAAAATTATAGAAATGWTATTGAAAGAATGGACTTCTACCTAGAATGAAATATCGAGAAGATATAATGTCAAGTAAAAACGTTTTCCAAACAAGAACAAGATTTTGATCGATCAGTTTGTATGGCAGCTACATCTTATAGTAGTCCGATATTTGCGGTTCCGCTAAATGAGTAGTGTCTTGGAGAGAAGAATGCAAGCTTCCAGATCAATATCTCAAAACCTGAGTGATTCCTTCGCCGGACTTAAGCAGAGGAGATGTTCCGGCTTCTCTTTCATACCTACTTCCTTGCACTTTTTACAGGGTTCATCGTTAATGATGTTCATACGGCTTGCATGTGCTGCCAGTTATTTGTAATCTGTGAATAGGCCAACAACTGTCCTGCAGTCGTTTGGACACCGTGTGAGTAGAAAGCTTTCGATCTATCCTTCCGCTCCCTTGCACATGATATTGTCGATTCTGCATGCCTCCAAGAAATTCCATCCCACCTGGATCCTTCTGTCAGTCTCTTCGGAAATTTCGTTGTGTATCGTTTTCAACGATTTGCGGAGTTCCTAAATTGGTTCGGTTGCCAAGTGGATGTCAGTTTTGGTAGTCTCATCAGCTATTTCATTTCCCGGAACGATCTTGTGACCTGGAACCCAGTATATATGCAGCCGCTTTCGAATAGCGTCTATTACTATTGCCTTCCTCAGTTGAAGGACAATCTCAGGTGCAATACGAAGTGAGATTATTGCTTTTATTGCCACTTAGCTATCGAAACATATGTATAGTATGATGATATTCTTTATGTTATTTTCTGCGTTGTTAGCTAACTCAGTTGCTTTGCTGGCCGCAAAAACTTTTAACTGGAAGACATTGCACTACTCCGGCAGCTTATAGGGTAGTCTCAGTTCTAGCTTCCACTCATGGTTCGCGTATCCCTGCTCCATCCATTTTCTTTTAGCGCCACTTGAAACCAGATAGATTGCGAAGGTATATGGATTTCGCTGCCGATCTGTCCATTGCAAAGTCAGTTGGTGACAGGTTGACTAACCTTCCAAATGCAACCGTTACAGTGCTTCTTAGTACTACCGTTGTGCAGAGAGCAGCGATATGCTTTATTCTCCCACGGATTCAATTATGATACAATTATGATGCTTTGCTGGTAGCGCCTTAAGTAAGATTAGTTTGTTACATTGTGGTAATATAACACCAGTATCTTTTTGGATGCATAGTTAGCGAACACCACTGGCTTTTTTCACCCTCGCTTCTACATTGATTTTCCAGGTACTTGGTATGATCTTTAGTAGTTAAATCCACCCGTTGAGCCCTGGAGAGTTCCATGATGGAACTGTGTACTTCCTTGTAAAGAGAGTCCATCTTACCGGCATTTACCTCCAGGTTAGTTGGTAATACCCATTAGTGTATGACTTTTAAAGAGCTATTCATCACGCTATATAAGCTTTAGTTCGGGTGCTCTCCATTCATGATTTCCCAGAAGCTAATTTGTTAGAAGTATTCACAGGATAGATGACTGTATAGTCCTAAGAAGAGATTCAGCTCGCGCTTATCTGATTAATCTGGCTTCGTTCCATTCTGCGATAATCCTTCTGCAGTTTAGTTGTGCTACAAGTATAATGGTGGACTCTATCCCGTTTGCTACCAGACTATTAGCGATACAACTTTTGGAGAGATATTTGAATGATCCGCCCGTGTAAAGAAACGGTTGTGTAAAGAAATGGTATATTCCTTTCTCTAGACCGAGTGTAGTTTTAAGGTTAACAAGTGAAATGTAGTCTCAGTGGTTCTAGCCTTCATGGAGACGTGTTGAGCTTTCGATAGGTTGGCTGATTAAATCTTGTTCCTAATATAAGCATCTGCAATATTTCCGAGCGTTGAAAGAGAGAAATGAGGTTAGACTTATTTATCTGTACTCCTTCAAATACTCCTTTTCCTGCCGTCRGTATGAATATAAGGATCGCTTCTCTCTAAAGGATAAGCATATAACGAAGTTTTTATATAAGAAGCAATGCTTTATTTGTTAATACTAATTATTTGGTCAAACGTTATAACTCAAATAAAGAAATATTTATTTTTCCGCATTTCGGACGATATTTTCGCGGTATCTAAGGAAAACATTTAAAGTTTTTTCGGGCCCACCTTAATGTATCACATACGCGTATGCAAGCGCCGYTACACATGTATTCTTYACGCACACATTACGTGTTGCGATATTGTGYCGCAACACTCTGCATGTGGCTTGCCACAAATTTTGTCGTAGGTTGACTCCATTTTTTTTTTGTACGTCAACTAAGTTGAAATCAAGAAAATATTTATTATATCGCCACATTGCTGCGGAAAATGCAAAGGAAATTGCACTTCGCCAGCTACACACACTTCTAAACCAGAGGTACAACGAGTTAAGCGTTGCAACATTTTTGAAGTGCAACGGCACTCAGCCACGTCTGCATGCATGAATGGTRCAATGAAATACATTGAGAGAAATGTGTTTGAAGCTTTGCGATATTTCTACACTTTTTACCAATTGTGGTGATACTGTTTGGCATAAAAATTGAAATTCGGTACGGTCATTCACTTAAATATTAATAAAGTGCGATACTACGTTAACATTACGAGCTTTGCCGAGTGGAATTTTCAAGGTTTTTTTTTT